TATAGTGACAATAAATGCATTCTATTCTATTCTATTTAGGTAACTGGTGACTCTAAATTGCGCATAGGTGCTCAAATGGCTTTTAATAGTTTTTTTGGCAGAAATAGCCCTGTAGATAAATTTGATCCCATGTGTAGTCTTTCCCCACAAGCTGCAAAACTATGACATCACAAAAACGTGATAGTCTCTGTGGCAACATTGATTACGATGGTGGAGGAATATCACCAACACAGCATTATCAGATTGAGAGGCTCATGGACATGATAACGTAGTTCTCCTAGCAAAAAAAGCACTCCTAGTATGTTTCTACTGTAGCTGTATTATAATCTCAATATGCTCTCTGATAGTCACCAGTAGGCTAGTCAGAGGTTCTCCTTCTTATAAGCCCCATCTGTCTTTTTTCTCCTCTTTTGTCCTACCTCTTTCTTCCCTTTTTTCTTCTCATCTAACGCCTCTGCTGTGGGTCAAAGTGTGTACGGGGGGAACAGAGTGAAAGCAAAGAAGAGAACCAAAGTTGGAATGAAGGTAAAAAGCCAAAGTGCTGTATCTGAGGGCAGTGAAAGGTCACAGATGTATTGACACTTTCTGTGGAGCCAAGTCTTTCTTTTGTCCAAGTTTATGTTTACTCACTTCACTGCCTCTCTCCACTTCACTGCTAAGCTCATTCCACCTGCCTGACTAATGGGCGACACTCCTGCCATGACATACAAAGTGTTATGACAGAGTATAATTTTCATATAGGTAAGCATTTCTGTCTACAGAAGTACTGCATTGTTACTGTGTTTTATAAAAGACAATTGAGTTTAGATTTTTATATTTCATGTGCACAGTACTGTGTAAGAACTATACAGCCTCCGCTGTTGCCTTACCTATTGTATTTCCATGTGTTTGGTCATTTTTCTGTAATTCACTCTGCCTATTTTCTCAACTAGAAATTAGTCCTGGATCGAGACTTTTACACAGCACTGTAAAGTAAAAGTAATTTTCTCATAGGCCAAAAATAATGCAATTCTACCATGGGAACAAGCCACCCGATGTTCAAGGCTCAAATTTACATTTTAACATTTTAACGTTAAAAGGCTTAGTGGTGGTACAATAGAGCTCAGAAAAAAGAATAATGTGATGGTGAACCAAAATACATATAACTGGAACCCTGAAACTAAAGCAGCTGTTATGTTCAGTCATCATGTTTTATTAGACGCTTACTGCTGATTTCAATTCTTTATGTAGTTTTTCTACATAAATACTGTACGTGGTGGTAATGATTTTACATTTTTATAGGTTAGACTGAAAAAAAACCCACAAGACCATTTTTCCCCGTGTCACACCACTACTTTACAGTCTAAACCTTGTTTGCTTGGAAGCACATGGTTAGTAAAGGTTGTGAATGAAACTATTTACATACAGACACACACGTGGACATAATCCCAAGCATAACTGGCATGCATGAGCGTGATTAGACTGCCCACCTGTGTCTATGGGAAAGATGCAGACTGACCACGTTTTACAATTCAAAGCCCACAGAGTCTGCAGAGCTGTGGGGAAAAGTATGTGGCTCCCAGACAATTGGATTAACTTGTGTGGGAGTAGAGTAATGGGTATTAGAAATGTGCACTGTAACAATGGAAGCCACTGTTGGCTATAAAGTCAGGGAGCAGCATCAGAGACTAAACAGGACTGAGGGTTGTGAGACAAGCAGTTAGTGGGAGCACTTGTTACACTACATAGCCACTAAAAATGCTCATAGAGGCTTAAAAACACAGTCACTGTTGGATACATGCTTTCTTCAAAGAGAGATAAACTAAAGCAAAGCAGCTTTAGTTTACACTCAAACGTATGCATACAGAGAGTAATAAATGTGCAGCAGAGTAACAGATAAATTGAGAGACTCCTATCAACACATCTAAACACACACGCATGTAGTTTAGAAAACTTTTCCACCCTCGTCGTCTCTGTTCTCTTTGTCTGTCTCTGTTCTCATTAACAGTCATTCTTCCCAGCCGGGCTTGATTTATTGCTGACCTCTATTTAGCCAGGGATCAGACAGAGTGTGCTGTCATTTCAATCTCTCTCTAGTTAAGTTTTATTTCCCCCGTCACTGTGATTGTGTTTCAGTGTCTGGAATTAACATTGAGGACAGTGACAGGCATGCAGATGGATGGAGAGTAGCAGCAGACTGATTCCTTAGTGA